ATTACATTGTTTGAGTGCATTGCTTTTTCAGTAATCATGATAAGCTTAATTTCACAATCTTTTCATCAGTATTATTAATACATGTAAGTAACCATTTTATTTTGCTCCTGCTCTCTAGTCTTTGGGGTAAAGAAGCACTTGTAAATTGTTTTAAAGGCCACAAAATAATGAGTCATAAACGTTACATGTGCATATTTATTCCAAACACTCTTGAAACCATGTGATAACACACATTTGGTATGCTGCCAATGTCATTTGGTCATTGCTAATCATTAAAAGAAAGAAATTGAAAATAACTCATCTTGTATAGCATTTCTTACTGTAACCTTTGTGGTACAAAAATACCTTGCCACAATTCTCCTTAAGGGATTTTTCACATTGCAAGCCACAAAAACTTCAGCTAGAAAAGCTAGAAATTTGCGGTAGTCTTCATGAGGTATTCCTTGTTTGTTGTGGTCTGTAAACTGAAGAAGGATCCCTGCAGCCTAGCAACAAAACAACAAACAAATGACGACCTTTAACCGTCACTAATGTAGCACATTACTAGCTGGGCCTGCTAAATTTTAGCAGGCCCAGCTGGTAATTAAAACAACAAACAAAAAAAATAATAAATAGATGGTACATTCTATTTCATATAGTATTGCACATGTTACAGTCAAACCAAGTCAAGCGTACCCCCCAAGATTCTATTAATGAATGGATTATTTGAAAAATGAATCCGTTAGTCGTTCCCGTAACTGGTGTCAAATTCAAAGCGGCATTTCTGCATGCGTAATGAGCAGTGAATATTTTACGAGAACTTCTCTGTATTTGGTCAGATTGGAAATCTTTGAATGGATTGAGCTTCTTAGAAGACATTTACATCAATTTCAGGAAAATGGAGCTGGTAGAAATTTCATAACTGCCTCGCGTGTGAATTCACGGCTCATTACACATGCAAGAATGCAGAGATCAATCTGAAATCTACAACTAGCAACGGATTCAACTTTTGAATAATAAATTCATTAATGTATTCTTGGGGGGTACGCTTGACCTGGTTTGACTGTAATTGTGGTTGGAATTGATCCTTGGTTTAAATTTTTATCCGTCAACCTTGTATTGTTCTACATAAGTATGGTTTTTAATATGTACAGTATAAACTTAAAACAATGGATAATTGAATTTAAACCTAGGATACAATTGAGCCACTAAATAAAGCAAACATGATACAAAGCACTCCCTCTTGTCCAGTCCCTGACCCAACTTAATCAATAAAATGTGCACCTCTGCCATTCTGTAATTCAATGCCCATTGGCTGTTGGTAACAGTAAAATTAATGGATAGGCTGGTGGCTGTTACATGTACATAATGGTAGTTGTTTTGTGGGAGTGAATGATATAAGGTAGCTGCACAGTAGGAGTTAGCTTCTAAGCAATGGGAATTAACATGAAACAAAAAAAATGAAAGGAAAGTGAAACAGGGAACAGGGACAGGAAGAGAAAATGCCATTTAGGGACTGACGTTAAAATCTTACTCTGCACAGTTTTTTCACACTGAAAGCTGACCTTTATCTGACTGTTTATGGAATTTACTTTCAATCAAGGTGAAAGGTGACAGACCATTGGAATAAGACAACCCCTCGACTGCATGTACACCAAAAATAAATCTGGAATAACTAAAACAACCTTTTGTTAAAAAAAATACCCCAGGCATTCTCTCACCCTTTCTCCCAACCAGTTATTTTCCTGCAATTCTTTCTTAGCTCCATCCCAAACTAGCTGAATCCCTAGAACAATTAGCTATAATGGAAAAGGTTCGGCTGTACATATATAATAAAAGTAACACCTTTTTCAGAAGGGCACATTGTTTGACACTGTCATCCTCTTCTAAAACGTGGCAAAACAAATCTGGAACCTCAGCCCAGCTTTCTCCAGACTCACACATCCCTGAGGACACAGACAAAAGAAGGAAAAAATAATGCAACCAAACTACATCATTATACATAGGCACTGTCAGAGCCTGCTAGACATCACTTTTTCTTGTGTGGGAAAATAGAGCCAGACTTAGTTTTGAAAAAGGCCCCCCGATGTTTCAAGCTCTGCTGGATAAAAAAGTGCAGGACCTGAACAATCGATGAAAATCGATGATCGGAAAATCAATCGATCAATCGATGACAATCGATTAATTATTGTTGATTAGCATTGATTGGCATTGGCCAATCAATGATCAATCGATAATCTTACTTAGGTGGTCGCAAACTTCATCGATTGCCGTCGATTGGCACAAAATTCAAGTCTCAGCATCTTCAGGTATCGCGGAAGTGTACGCAGATCGTATATTATTTTTAAACCTCAGTAGCAAAGTTTGATGTGGCTCCATGAAAAACAGCACAAATGAAGACAATTAACATATCTTGTTGTCAGTGCACATAACTTGATCGATTTAGCTTCGAGTCCATTGCAAAGATTCAACTGACCTGGGACACAGTCGTCCTTCAAACACGATTAAGCTTACTGTTATTTCTTTTTCTTCTTCTTTCTTTATATCTCTGTGCAGACGCCCACGTCCACCTCGATCTTCCATGCGGAATTCCCAAATAAAAAGCGATGATATCAAAATGTGTAACTTTATTAGTACTCGACGGAATTGACCATTGAAATGTTTGACTGAATAGGTAATCGATTGATATTGTATATTGATAACAATCTATTAGGTTAATTGATATATTCCCATCGATTATCAATTGATATTGATAATCGATGATAATCAATAATCACAAAAATTTTCGTGATCGATTGTCCATCAATTATCAATATCAATCGATTAATTGATATCGATTGTCATCGATTGTTATCGATTGCCATCGATTAATGATTTCATCGATTGTTCAGGTCCTGAAAAGTGGGTAGTTTGGACAGTCAAACCAGTAAATTTCAATTACAATAGATGCTCCCTCTATTCCACCTAGTTGGGGAATTACCTTTCCTTCTTACCCCTGAATAATTGAAAAAGAGCGTAAAGAGTTAAGAATAAAGGATATATTACAATATTATTCACCGAAGTAACCACAATCAAATCACACTTTAAATAACATAAATATTTAAAGGTCAGTGTAAAACGCAGACTGCGCACTGCAGACTGCAGACTGCGGACCAGGGGTAAAATGCAGACTGAGTGTAAAAAGCAGACTGCAGGCCGAGAGTAAAACGCAGGGTGGGTGCAAAATGCAGAATAAAGAATGTAGACTTTTTTAAACATTTGTGCTCCTTCTTCTCCAAATCGGTGAAATAGCTAGCCGGTATCAGTTACACACTTCGCTTCCTAGTCGAAGTGCATTGCACATTCGCCAAAAGTTTCAATGAACATCTGAACAGCTTAAGTCTGCGTACCTTGATTTGCAATACTTTCATAGAGGGTCATCCAAATTTCCTGCAGAACATCTTTCTTTGTTGTTGGAATGATTTACTCCCTTTTTTATCACCATAATTCTTCCTGTGCAGTATTTTGGGTCAACATCGTGGTGTTGTACCATTTCAAGGTCCCAGGCCACGTATATCGAAAACTTTGCATCTAAAGTTGAAGCGTGAAGCCCGGGGGGGTACTCCCATACATTACCTATACGGGTATGTGCTGCCCAACAGGGTCGTGATTTTGAAGAACGGGGTATCCATTTCAGAGGCGTTCTCTAGAACGGGGTATAATATTTCGAATGCACGAAAGCTCCAGTTTTGTAAGCAGCCATTTGAAATTATTCAAGGACAGATTGCTTTTAAAAATACGGTTTAATGCGTTAACAAGCAAACTGTTGTACTCTTTGCACCTTAGAACGGAGTATAAAAAATTGGCCCATTTCTAGAACGGGGTATCAGTTTTAGGGGAAATTTTTTTTAGAACGGGGTGCCAATTTGGAGTCCCGGACCGCACATACCCAACCAAAAAATACCCAAGTGCCCCCCCCCCCCCCCCCCCCCGCC